TTGGACCACCGAAATCGATTTCAATCGGTTTTAGTCCACTGTGATAGATTTAAGTCGATTTCAAATCGATTTCAAGCGATTTTGTGGCTCAAAATCGATTTGAACTGATTTAAATCGATTCTGACCGATTCTGTCACTCAAAATCGATTACGCAAGAATCGATTTTCAGTCATTTTGACACCCAAAACCAGCTTTTCTCCCCTTGAAAATGACTGAAAATCGATTCTTGCGGAATCGATTTTGAGTGACAGAATCGGTCAAAATCGATTTAAATCAGTTCAATTCGATTTTGAGCCACAAAATCGCTTGAAATCGACTTAAATCTATCGCAGTGGACTAGAACCGATTGAAATCGATTTCGGTGGTCCAAAATCGATTTAAATCGTTCAAAATCGGCCAAAATCGAAAAGAGCTTCAAATCAGCTTTTTCCCCCTTGGCGAAAACTCACAAAACGTTTCTTTTTATCGTTTATCTTTTTACTCTTTTATTGTGTTTGCGTAATGGTGCACATTGTTCAATTTCTTATTAATCGGTGATTCAGATATATTTTGATGTTTATGTGTTTTTGAATTAAATAAAATAAAAAACTTTTTAAAACAAATATATTATCTTTCTTGGATTTGAGATAGACTGAAAAATGTAGGGTACAGTGATTAGTTTTCTTCTTACACTAACGGGGGTAGAAAAACTGTACGAATGTATCTCTGCTATCGTTAATGTAACTCTATTCGGTGGACGAACTTTCTGCCATTCACACTATTCACGAGAAAATCTAACAGGCATTTAAAGAATATTTTGGTAGTTCGGTGTCATCGTTAAGTATTTAAAATCTGGAATAAACGTCCGATATAACTATAATAATCTAAGTTTGACATTCTTAAACTCTCAAATGACAAAGTATGCAATTTCCAAAATAGTAAAACTAAGAAGTATTCATAACTTTTTGAATATTTTTTTCAGATGGTAGATTGTTGTTTTTCGACTCTCTGAAAATCTCAACCAGAGTGCCAGCTATGGACATCGTTTATTGATTACTGGTTGAAGAAGAAGAAGAATACCCCGCCTTGCGGCTACCTTGCGGTGTAGGGTGCTGCCAGAAGACAGTTTCATTAGCCCGATACTTTTTCCTACAGCTGATGATCTTGGAGGAAGTTCACACGTTCCTTTACTAATCACCACGCTGCAGCTCTGGACAGAAGGCTGGCCTGATTCAGAGTTCTTCTCACCCAATTGCTTGAGCTCCCCATTCTCTCTCAACTAGGCTGACACACATTGAAAGAGTGTAAACACTCTCTCGTGTGCCACAATATAGTGAGGTCACTATCGGACGGGTAATCTGAGGCAATAGACCGTGAGTAACTTGCCCAAAGAAATTAATTACTGGTTGGGATGGGTTGAAAGTCGAAATAAATGGTACAATGGCGCGAAAGTTTATGACTGATATGTTACACTGCTTGTTAGCTCTTCTTTTCCAAGAGAAAGAAAGGGATATCATTTCTTTCTTTTGAGAAAGAAAATGACTTATCTTTCTCACCAATAGAAAGAACAAGAAAGAGACAAAATGTTTCTACTTTTCGTTTTTTTTAATATTTTGATTGGTTGAAGTTGCAATAACCAAACTAACCAGAGAGCTCATTCTTGTGTCGTTTTGTTCATCTTTGTCTTCCGGATAAGCTATGCAAGTTTGAAAAAGTTTGGATACGTCGTTTTGGCGATATTGGCAAAATAATGGACATTTTGCCATTATGAAAAGCAATCTTATTTTAGTCAGTACCCTAGTGAATGTACTTGCGAGTGGGTACTTGTTTACTTTCGAATTTTCACGGGTACTTGGCAAGCGCCTGACAAAGATTTTCAAAAAATACTACTAGACAAATGCTTGAAAGCACTTGCCAGGTACTTGATTTACTTGTTGAATCTTCCACAGGTATTACAAGTACTTGGTTTACTTGCAAAAAAGCTCAAGTACGTTGGACAAAACTTGCGAGAGTACTTATCACTTTTTTGCTGTAAAACGAAACGTTTTCATAAACTCTTTCTAGTAGAAAAGTTGTACATAACTCTTGCAGCTATTTACTGGAAAACGATTTTTTAAATCTCAACAAGATGTTGAGTCAGTAAAAAATGGTCTCCGTTACCTCATTACGTTTTTATTACGGCAATACGCTTTTTTTTCAAATATTGTGCGATGATCTGTTTTTATATCCGTCACATAATCTTATCTCTTCCAGCCAACAATAAATACTTTGTGTAACTCATACAGAGGTCACATAAGTCATTTTACAGACGATCAAATGCACTCTGCAAGATGGCGTTAGTCGTTTTCTCAATTTTTGACATCATATTCATCTCATCCAGGGCACTTTTCACTTGCCTAGGTCGTTAAAAGCTTAAATACGTACCGGACATTTTACTAGTTTTATTTTTTTTCTTTCCCGAAAGAAACGACATCTCTTCTCTGCTTTTTCGGAAAGAAAAGATATCGCACATCAATTTTTTCTTTTTCCTGCGGAAAAGGAAAGATATCAAAGATTTTGTTAATAAATAAGACAGGTAGGAAGGAGACAGTGCCACCACAACGAGAAGGGCGTTGTGGATGGTCTGATGGTTTAATCAGACGTCTGACTCATCAAGTAGTTTTGAACTTACAGCAGTGTCGAAAAGCCAAAGAATGCATTTCCATCGCTCGGTTAAAAACGGTGGCAATAGATGTCGAAGAGGTACTAGATACCGAGATTGATGGAACACAAAAGCCAAGAGTAACTAAAAGAGATGTACACCCGCATGAGGGCCGTGCCCTCAAAATTTTTAATGCCGGCAGATTTTTAGACGAACTACCTAGATTTTAATATCCGTGCATTTTTACATCAACTAGTAGGATGTTTTCATACGACATGGAGATTTTTAAATCAGCTATCTAGATTTCGGCGATTCCGTGTATTTCCGATGAGTTTTTGTAGAAAATAAGCTGTTTACATTGTAAGTTGTCAAGCGAAAGAGACGAATGTCATGAAAATAATGTGCCATCAATAACCGCTGCGTCAATTTTGAGCAAATGTTCTGTAATCAAGTAACGTCGGATCTAAACACATTTTATTTTTATTTTTGTACGATACGAAAGAAAAATTTAACTTATGCAATGCAATGAATAGTGATTTAATTCAAAGTCAATGATTTTTTACGACGAAATTTATTTACTAACGACTTTAGTTTGCCAGTAAACGATGATGATTTTCCAGAGTCTTCCGGATCAAACGGTTGAATCAAATCTAAATATAAATAAAACAAGCAAGTTGTTATAAGAGTAAATTTTTCGTACTAGATGATTCAGGAGGTTGATTTGTACTATTATCGGTGTTTGTTCGTTGTGGAATTGCTCGAGCATTTATTTGTGGTGTATTTGCAGGGCGTGCAGCAGCAAGTGAAGCGTCTAAGTTTTCATCTTCATCATCACTGTCGCTGTCGGAATCCGATTCTGTTTCAGACTCAGATTCTTCCGTTTCACTTTCTTCAGCTGGACCTTTCCTTATTTGAGCTGGAACTATTGTTGATGGAATTTGATTTTGCAATGCTGGGCGAATAAGTTCGCTGCGTTGTGATGTTTGAGTTTTGGCTGTAACTGAAGCACGAATATCTTCGTCGACAGGTTTAGAGAGAGGTGGTTGTATTGGAGTTGTTGAAAGATGTTCTTGCGAATCATCTTCAGAGGCTGTTGACGATTCAGATGAAGTGACGTCAGATGAAACTTGTTGAGTTGTTTTTGACATTTCTGGTTGACCGCTTGCTCTTGTTGATTCCTCTTCTTCTTCACTGTAACTTGTCGCAGTCGGTGTTGGTAGTTTTGGAATAGGATCAGCAGGCAGATCTGAGCAAGAACTTTTCTTAGTAACAGGATCAGCTTAAGGCTTCGGAAACCTTTTTAAATTTTTTCTAACACACGGAAGTACTAAAGAAGGTATAGGCAGAAAAAAGTGACATATGACAATGGATCTACCCAACACTGACAAACCTAATAGGAAATAAGAAGAATAAAAAGAGGAACAAGAGAACAGTTAATAAAAGAATAAGAGGTGTAGCAAAGGACGAAACTAGCCACTAACGCGTAAACTCTAACTAACAGAGAAGTAACGAATGACGTGTTATTTCCAACCCCTTTGTTCTTTTATACAAAAATACTTTTCTCATCTGTCATTCATCTTAAAGATGCGTTTTACTGAAATACTAAAAAGTTTAGAATTCCAGCAAAACGCGTCTTCTAAGCACAAAGAAGAACCTAACTCTGACGAGTAAGCATACATGTTTTATGTTTTTAATTCATTAGTAAAGGAGAATAGACACATGGGATCCGGTACTGCAGGATACATGATAAATTTACTAGATCAAAAGTCTGTTTTTATATGGTCTATGGACAGCTCCTTGATCTGAATGAGGAGAAACTGTAGACTCGGAGTTGGTAGGTTCTCGCAATTAATACTTCTCAGCTCTTATTCACCGATTATTTACGATTCACTCACTGTCTAATTGTCGTCGTGTGTCCATTTTATCAGATGATGCTAAAATATCTAAATATTAAACTGATTAAATATTCTGTTGATTTATTCTATTTCTTACGAATAGGTGATGATGCTTGATCGCGATATCGTGCCTTATGTTTTCTTCTATTGATTGATTGTTTTCGATGCATTTTGTCGTATGAACGAAAACCATTTGTGTCAATATAATTATGATGATGTGATGGTATTTGACGATGATATATGTCATCCATTTGTCTTGTATAACCTTTGATAGAAAACTAATGATATTTTTAAAAAATCAAGAATGGAAAAAAAAACCTCTTCGAGTAGTTGCTGGTGTTATAAATCCGATATCAGCTAAACTTTGATCATTATCAACAAATTTCACACTAGATACATATGGTCGAACATTATCAAGATAATCTTGTTGAATACGATTCATTATGTTTCCAAGATCAAATGGTTGCATACCAGTTAAATCAGTATCTGTTGTTATTGGTATCTGTTGTTGAGGATATCTTTCTGATGAATTTTTCAACAATACTTTTAAAGGATCCTGTGTTGATTGAAAATAGTCTGATATTCGATAAGCAGTGTTGTGTGATGGTGATCTTTGTCTGTCATATAATTCAAGAAAAAGATCATTATCAGGAGTATATAATTTGCCGAGTACTATTTCAGCGTGATTTTCTTTACCAAATGCTTGTTGTTGTAGTGGAATAGCATGTTGAAAACTATCGTAAGAAGATGTCTGATGACGTGTTGGTGAATATCGATTATGATCATGTGAATGAGGGATTTGTCTTGTTGTCGGTCGTGTTAGTGTTGAATAAGTGTGTGAATTTGTTGATGATGGTTGTGCATGTGTTGTTCTATTAACTCGAGCAGGCGATCGACGATTATTCGATACTTTCTGTGGAGTAGAACTAAATGGGAAAAAGGGGTTTTCTAATTGTTTTTTAAAGAAATTCACTCTTACTAAGATATCTCTGTTTTCGGACGCCTATCTACATTTGTATTTGGTTGTTGATCGTGTCTGTCTTGATAGACAATATTCGATTTTGATTGCTGATTTGGTACAGATCGTTGTGTTTGTTGATTTTTCGATGATGCAGATTTTACTTGAGTGCCAAATAAACGTGCACGCTCGGCTACACTTACACCAATTGTTATTACTATATGAAATTAAATGAAATCTTATCATGAAGTTCAATTTTAATTCAACTATAGGGAGTCCCAAAAGTCATTATCTGGAAGTAAATTCGCATATCTCCGCCCTGTCTCAGTTGATAAGACTGACTTTTTTGTGAATAGAGAGGAGTGTTCCAAGTTTATATTCTTAGAAAAAGCTCATAAATACTGTTCAAAAAGTATCACCTTTGACTTCGATACAAAAATTTAACCGTTTCTTGATTTCCAAAAGCACGTCATACAATGTTTCTTATCTGATTGCTTCAATTTCTTCCATTATTCTGAACTTCAAATCGTTCACACCTTGCACTGTAGTTTTATAGACATTTGTTTTGATATGTTCTCACAAAAAAGTCCAGTGGTGTCAAGTCTGGCGACTGTGAAGCTCAAGAAATTGTTTCACTTCTTCCAATCCACCGCTCATCAAATTTTCCGTTGAGCCAGACACAAACTGTTTTTTGAGAAGTAGGCTGGTGCTCCAACTTACTGAAAAGTCATGTTCTTAGCAATTGGCTCTCTAGCAAATAGTTGTTTCTTATTTGAACAATAGTGGAATTCGAAATTATGGTTTTGATGGTCAGGTTAGAGTCTGTAACGGCTGTCAACGAGAAAATGCGTCTGACACTTTCACTGAGACGACTATCAATGACGAAGATAACAATTTAAGCGTTCAGGTGGCAGAACTATTTATTGATATCAATTCTTGATGATCAAGAAAGCGATGGTTTGATACTTTTCTCCGATGACGCGAGGTTCACGTTTCTGTTGTCAATTAGCACAAACTGTTGTATATATGCGAAAAAAAATCTGTTTGCTACTATAAATGTTACAATGAATTCTCCAAAATTTACCGTATGGTGTGTAATATCAAGTAAATAAATAATTGGATCATTCTTTTTCGACGAAGAAACAGTGAATCAGCAAAAGTACCTTGGAAATCTTGAAAGTTATTTTCATTAAAAAAACGAATCGTAAAGAAGATAATTTTTCAGCAAGATGGACCACCACCCTACTTCTCAAAAAACAGTTTGTGTCTGGCTCAACGGAAAATTTGATGAGCGGTGGATTGGAAGAAGTGAAACAATTTCTTGAGCTTCACAGTCGCCAGACTTGACACCACTGGACTTTTTTGTGAGAACATATCAAAACAAATGTCTATAAAACTACAGTGCAAGGTGTGAACGATTTGAAGTCCAGAATAATGGAAGAAATTGAAGCAGTCAGATAAGAAACATTGCATGACGTGCTTTTGGAAATCAAGAAACGGAGATATGCGAATTTACTTCCAGATAATGACTTTTGGGATTCCCTGTAGTACCTGGTCGTTTCTTTCCAGTTGACGTATCATTTCTGGCACCATAGATAACATTTCTGGAACTTGATAATCTGTCTGAAACGTTCTTGGCCATTGCTTATACTATCATGAATACGTTATAAGTTCGAAGGAAAAAGGATTGTTGACAATGATATGATGTATACAGGTAAGAGAAAAAAGATGCGCTCAGAGGAGAAAAAATCGATCAAGCATGACTTTATACAAACTTCAATCTAAACTAGTACACGCGTTCGTACCTCCTATATGTATTTTATGCTAACGAAAGAACAATTTTCTACGTGCCATCTGTATGTAAATGAAAAGTAAATGTGAGAAAAGATTGATTCGTGGTCTTGAAATATTATCATACTTTACGTGAAGAATCAAGACACAACAACAATTATATCCAATGAATGTACATATGTGCACATCTGGAGGTTTGAATTCATGCATGTCTGTTTTATTTATTCTAATAGATATGCTATCAAATGGATTATGACACTTTTGATTGTATTTGTAGCTACAAAGGTATTTATGTGTACGAAAGTTTAGCAGAAACCGTTGAAAATAACTGCATTTTTGTCACATCCAATGGAACTTTAGTCGAAATGACGATCATGGGTGTGAGCTCATGGTTGTGTATAGTTTATAGTTTCGACCATTGTCTAGTTGTGATTTTTCGATATCATAACAGTGACTGAATCGGCCCATCCGACACGACCAGTACTAGGATCGAAATCATAGGATGGGAAAGTCCACATCGAGCCCGACTTCTCGTTTTTGATGAAAAAAGTAGTATGAATCAGTAGTCGCCGCGAGTTCTTGATATATAGGATGAGTATCTGTATGGGTATGTTTTAACTGTAACTACATGTTTGATTGACTGACTGTCTGCACTAAAACACTGAACAGTCCATTTGATAAAAAGCTTGATTCGATGAGCCTCTCGAAATTTAACCTGAGACCGGTTCGAGCACAGCTTGAGTGGTATCAGTGTAAAGCATGTAAATAAAATAGAACAGTCATCTGTAACAGGAATCAAAAACATCACGCCTGCCATTCAGGAACAAGATGATACTGATGATGATGCCAGTTCAAATATTAATCTTCCTGATGTACCAGTCACTGAAACGCTAAGAAATAGACGAGTTGGCATAGTTAAATTGCCCAGAATAAAATCGACACAACCATCAGCGAATTATTGTGTGGCAAAATCGATCGAGCCTAAACAGCGGCAAGCTACAATTCTGTTGAACGATAAACTGTCAAAAATTCATTCAGAACCCACGTGATAATAGAGATTTGACTGTAGCCAAACGCCGACTTTGAAGTTGATTTTGATTAAGCATGAGCGGTAACGGTAAAATAATTTTTTACCGAAATTTATCGCGGTAAAACTTTGGAGTTATTACTGTAAGCTAGTAACGGTAAAAAAATAATTTTTACCAAACTTTCATTTTGACTTTTGACCAAAACATTAAGCACACAAGTTTCGGTAATTTACCGTGGGTAACGGTAAAAAGATTTTTTATCGAAGTTTACTGCGGTAAAATTTTGAGAATTTTTACCAGTTTGAAATTATCGCAGTAAAAATCCGATATTGCTACCGAAGCGTCGATAACGGTAACACGTTTTTACTGTTACCGTCAAATTTTGATTTTGACATTCGTGAATCAGAAATTGTGAATCAGAAATGAATCAATATCAAATATAATCATCGATATCATATTTATTACGTTCTGAAAAAATTATTATCAATAATTCAAATATTTGATTTTCATCAAATGCATTTTGTTATGTTAAGAAAACTCAACAGGAAAAATCGTTCACAAGCGGAAAAGCTTTAGCTTATAGTTGAATAACGTCAAAGTTCAGCTTGTATACTCAGTTTTTCACGCTTAATAAGAAAAAAAGTCGTTCTAAAGTTTTAAGAAAACAAGATAGGAAAATTAGGTCCATTTTCAAAAATTCAGCGATTCTTCGAAAAATGGATGCATCTCGGTATTTCAAAATTTTTTTCCCGTAAAAACATTTTTAAAAAATTCAAAAATGTAAGATTCTGACATCTGTTATAGATGAAATAAGAACAGCACAACAGTTACAAGAGATTGAAGATTTATTGTGATTTTCAAACTTTATTCTTATGTTTTTGAGTTGAACGATGTTTTTCATGGTGTTTCATTGTGATTTGTCTTTTATTATTTTGCCTGATGCTTCAGTATGAAAAAAGAATATAGCAAGCTATAGTTACAGGCCGGTGAAAATAGTAGAGGAGGTGTCGTGTTAGTTTTCCGTTTAGGTATTTTCTGTACTCGAGTAAAATGTGATATACCTAATGTGTGTGTAGTAGATATCACCTTAGAGCAAGTTCTACGTATCGTTGGGGTGTACGCTCCCAGAAGTAGATCATGGACGTGGGACGTCCTCTCCCCATTTGTCTCTAGCGCGTGTGTGTTTTTTGGTGACTTTAATGTTGATCTAGACGATCCGGTTGATAATGCTAGGTCCACAACCCTCCTTGAGTGGGCCGATTCTCTTTTTTTGTCACCTATTCTTCCTAATAAGGCGACCTCCAAACGTTCTAACCGTCTCATTGATTATGCGTTCGCTACTGGAGTTCCCCTTGTAGTTCAAAATTGGGATACCAACACCACAAGTGACCATGAACCCGTTCTTGGCATTATCGCGTGCGAGCGAAAAGAAACTGTGTTTAGTTATAATACTCATTGGGTTGTTTTTAATTATTTCATGTCGTTTAT